AGAAAAAAAAATAGATTGGATGTTATCTTTTGAACACTTGACATGAGGTTTTTTACTGATTTTCATGCATTTATATGTGCTTCGCTATTTCTAAATAAAGATCAGAACTCGCTCTCTGACTGTGATGAGGACTCTTCTAGCAAATCAATAAATTACAATTGCTCTGTAAAATAATTTAAAAAATCAGTCACCAAATATGAAAACTCGATTCTTTAAGCTGTCAAGATTGCTTTAGGTTCAGACTCAGATATTACTGTTTAAAACATGTAATGTAATAACATTAGTGAAAAAAAAGGACAATGCAAAATGAACATTTAAGCCATTAACCTCGGGTCACAGGTCTTGTCATCACGTCTCTTGAGTACAGTCTTCAGCATGTTAGTGTATCTCTGGCAGTTGGTCCGCAGCTGCGGGTCTCTTTTTTGAATGTCCAGCCTTGGCGTCAAGTACTCTAAGAACCTTTTCATGCTCTTGATGTAATTGTGGATGCTGACTAAAGACACGTCAGTGCGCTTCAGGGCCATCAGAAAGTCCCGGGTCTCTCTGCTTTTTGACAGGAAGTCCAGAGACGGCTCACTCCCAGTGGGCTGCAAGTACCGAATGAAACGGGACACGTTGTCAACCTATGAAGACAAGACGGTGAGAAAGAAAAGTCAGCAGTAAGATCACGAACGTGAGAAGACCTACGCAAATTCGTAATACAGAAGCAAATCTCAACTTGATTTGGGATTCTTATCCTATCTTACAAAATCGTGTTTTATCTCTAGTTAGGACATTTTAAATTGCATTATCAAGTTCGACAAACCACTCTCGGGTCTGTTACCAAGCAACCAACACTGCGCGAGCTGCTGATGAGGTAAACAATTTTGTTTAACATTTGGATAAACAAAACCGGCGAGCTTTTCACTTCAGCGGAAATCGAAACTTTGATAAGTTCGGTAGAAAAGGCAAAGCCGATACTATTTGGTAAGTTTTCACCTTCGCTCACTCACAAAGACGGAGTGGGCAAGAGTTGACGAAAATGTGTCAGCGGTGTCTGGCATTAACCGAGTCTGTGAAGAAAAAATTGTGTGGTTTTTACGTTAGCTTTCAAATAATTTTGAAGTTAGGACAGCTGTGGGGTTGCCCTAAAGTTAAGTTAGGAGTTCTGTTTCTTCCCATCTTATCTTAAAGGGGTGGTTCACTAGGTTTTTTCTAGGCTTGATTGTGTTTATGGGGTGCAGTCTAACGTGTTAATGCTTATTAACGCATTATTTTTCACATAATTTACCTTTATTCCACACCACTCAGTCCCTTCTCCTCTGAACGCGCTAATCATTTCCTGCTTTTATGAAGCTGCTCCCTCAGAAATACACGATGGGCTCTGATTGGTTAGCTAGCCCAGTGTGTTGTGATTGGCTAAACCGTCTCTAGTGCGCGTCTAAACGTCCCACCCCTCACCTCAGCGGCATGTGCTCCGGTTGTATTGTAAACAATGTCGTCGTCTATTGTGCTTATCAGTTTGAGCCCGATTGAGACGCAGAGGATATTAGTGAAGAGGATCGCGCAGAACCTGTGCAAGCACGGCTTTTAATGGTAGGCCTAAGATTATTGTTTGTTGTTGTCTCATACTTTTAGATATGCTGTTATTTGTAAATGCTACTGCTTATGTTAGCTTTTATTCTTTTATACGGTTTTATTCTGCATTGCATTGAACTTTCAGCTTCGTAACTTTGCAGATATTGTTTATGCTCAAGATAACGCACTTAGGAAATACTGTCCTGTAATAGTTTTTGTCCTAAATGTGTGGTCCTACCTGAAAATACCATGGCTACCAAACAGATAAGATAAGGTTTTAAAGTTAGGATCTTTACCATCTTTGGGAAATTGTGCTGAGGATCAGGGTTGCAAAAATTTTCCAGTAAATTTCGGAAACATTCCAGAAATTTTGGACATTTGGAATCTTCCAGGGATTTTTGGAAAGTTTCCAGAAATTTTCCGGACATTTTCCACCCCTTTGCAACCCTACTGAGAGAATACTTCGTTCATCACAGGGCTTTTTACGTTTTAATTAATTTTGTATAGTTATTTTTTTTACTTTATTAATCTGTGTTATTAGCCTGCGTTTATGTTTAATAAATGTTCAGTTTAGGTCTGTACGTTTTTCCGGGTGTTTTGTTTGTGCATTCTCAACTCAAAAAGACATACAATTAAACATATTAAAAATATACTTGATATTCAAGTAGTGTATTTGTAGTACATTTAACATTCGAAGTGCATTAAAAATCTCATGAATTTAATTTTTTATATTTTTCCAAAAACTTTGGTAATAAACATGCTTAGTTAAGCTGTAAAGAAATATGCAAAAACACAAACATACTGCAAGTGAAATGTTAGTGTATTTACAGAAAACATACTTAATTTACTCTTACTTAAAGTATAGGCTATTTCATGTTAACTTAGTGTAAGAACAGCAAAATAATTCAGCTTTTAGTGGGTTTAAAGTGTACAAACTTTATAACCATGTGTAGGCCTACTGCAATTGTAAGTTATATTAAAGTATGTTAAAGTTAAGTTAAAGTAAAAGTAGTATTTTAAAGTTTTCTAGACTTCAAGTGTGTGTGTCTTAATATTTATATTTAATGATGCTTGCACTTTTTAATACATCACTTTGAATAAACAGTATAACAGTGTATGAATAATGCATTTCTTATGAGCTGAAAAGCTATTCAAATGTTGTTGAAGCACATAAAAATGAAGCTTCAAATATATTCTAACTGTACTTGTAGTATTACAGTAAATTGTAAACGTGTTTAAAGAAATACACTTAAATTGCACTAAATGTACTTGAAGAGGGTCCAATTTAACACAATATATCAAAATATATAGCAAATAGTTTAAAATCTATTTCTTGTTAGATGATTTTTTTGTTTAGATTGTCTCATGTTAATATTCATTTTACTAAATGTTTTATTTTGTTTAAATTGCTTTGACTGTTTATCGCAAAGCTTTGTCAATAGTTCAATTTCATGCATTTTTTTGTCTACTTTAGTTTGACTGTATGTAGTTTTGGCTTATTTTGAGGAGTTTAAATGACAAAAACTTTGGTCTTTTGTGAGTTTGCTAATGTTGCAATGTCCTTAACACCATTAACACGATACAATGAGCCGATACTGCTGATCGCTGTCGCTTACAGATCAGTTCTGATTGCTGTAAATGATCGTTTCCTGATGTGTTGATGAGGATTGCGATGCTCTGCTGTTACAGAACAAAGCCTCTGTTATTGGATTATATCGAGTTGTTTCAGACAATTCAGCACACTCTAAAAAATGCTGGGTTAAAAATAATTCAAGTTGGGTCAAATATGTTCAAACTTGTTTTGACCCAGCTGTTGGGTTAAATGTTTGACCTAACCTGTTGGGCAGTTTTATTTAACGATTCATTTTTAATAACTTGACTATTATTTAAAAATGATCATATTGCTTGCTTAAAATGAACCCAAAATTGGTTGGAAATGAACTTTTATTAATATGTTTAATAAATGGACATTTATTACTAAGTTTAATCAATAAAAATTAAACATTTATTCTAATAACCATGTGTCTGATTTTTTAATTTCCAACCAATTTTGGGTTCATTTAAGCCAGCCATACAGTAATTTTTAAACAGTAGTTGAGTAATGAATGAGTTAAATTAAGAAACATTATTTATTGCACACAGACACACCAGAAAAAAACACACACACATCTACTACATTTAAAAGTTATCTACAAAATAATCAGAAGTTACATAAAAACAGCCACTACGATGATTCAAGGAGATGTAAATGTGCAGACTGTAGTAAAATTAGTGAAACTTGCCAACAAACTGAAGTGAATATTTATGATAAAGAAATAATAATTATGATATTGTGATATGATATACTACTAATAATAATATTATTAATGTTCCCTCCTGGTGGAATGACCTGCCCAACTCAATCCGAGCAGCTGAATCCTTAACCATCTTCAAGTATTGTTCCATGTTTGTTTGTATACAGCGCCCAAGGTTTATGCGCAGAGTCCAAGTCTTCTTCTCTCTTTTTAGTGCATCTCTGTGGCAGAATTACAGCACCACATACTGATCTGGCATGTATACTACATCGTTTTGTGTTGGTTTCGTGGTTTCATGTGTATGCAGAAATTTCTTTAGAAAAGACAAATTTTGGCTTCGTGTGGATGTGGCCTTATTTTGATTTTTTTTTTTTTGAGGACATTAATATGTTTAGTCAGCAAGGATGCATTAAATCAGGGATAGGGAACGTTGATCCTGGAGGGCTGGTGTCTCTGCAGAGTTTAGCTCCAACCTTAATCAAATACACCTGAACAAGCTAATCAAGGTCTTCAGGATACAGGTAGGTATTTTTTTTTTCAGGGTTGGCGCTAAACTCTGCAGGACAATGGCCCTCCAGGATCAACATTCCCCACCTCTGCATTAAATTGATCAAAAGTGACAGGAAATATATTTATAATGTTACATAAATATTTAAGCCTTTTTTAAATGTTGCATTCATCACAGGATCTTAAAAATAAATACATAAATAAAACAGCATGAAGAGAGCAGAAAAGACAGTGAGAGAACATTCCCCAAGTCAGTTCTTTTTCTTTTGTGTTTATTCTGTTTAGATAGTGTCACTACATTGGAATTGATTAAAGATAATTTCATTTTCAACAACCAGTATCTCAGATCACATTTCAGAGCTTCAGAACCTATATTGGTTACACTGACCAAAAAAAAACATTCCATCTCTACTATTTATGAAAAGATGATGAAAAGAGGACAGAAGCATGCTGAACTTCAATAGTGTTTGCTCTTAATGTCAGTCAAGAAATGTTCAATAACAGTACTTTTAAAAAAGAAAGATAAAGAATAAATGACAAAACTAGCAATATAACTGCCCTTTTCATCTGTTTATGAGAGCATATACAGTAGAACTGTCTTCTTCATTAGAGAACTCGTAAGAAGTACTGTTCAAACGACCTTTAGGAAGAGAGAAAGAGGGAGAAGGCTAAAGGAATGAAGGAGAATGTAAGAGAAATGGGGAATAAGAAGAGGTTGGGTACACTTCTGAAGTTGGAGTTGGATGTTGAATTGAATACAACAAATCCAGTTGGGTTGATGTTTGTGTTAGACTGGATCCAGTCCTGGTACTGAGAGACTCTGGTGTACACACCAGGATATTTTGATTTAGCACAGTCTTTACTACCAAAACTCACAATTCCGGACTGAATCCACCGGGGGCCGTTCCTACTGACCATTGGACCTCCAGAGTCTCCCTGTATTGACAAACATTCAACATTTATAACTCTGACAATACACTACAAACAACTGTTATAGATAGAAGTAATAATAGTGTTAGGGTGATCATACATGCCATTTTTAAGCGACACGTCCTGGCCAGGATTTCTGTATTGCCTAAAATATCCAGATTTTGGCTTTTTTTTCTGTTTTCATACTTGCTGAAGGAAATGATCGAAAAGTAGTTTGGACGATTAATGCCTTCATATTATTGGTCAATCGTGGCGCTAGAGGAAGTGGGATCTACAGAGAACGATCAAAGCGATGCAAATATGCGTACATATCAGGTGTGTTCAAATTGAAGCGGCACTGCGCAGACCGATCGGTGTATGCCATCAAAGTACCGCGAGAGCATTTCGAAAGCATAAGGAGCCGTCTGCTCCCTATAGCTCTCATAGTACTTTGATGTCAAACAACGATTGGTCTGTGCAGTGCAAACAGCCAAAACTTGGATATTTCTGGCAATATAGAAATCTTGGCCAGGATGTGTCCCATAAAAATGGCACGTATGTTCACCCTAAATAGTGTAGCCCCATGGTAAAAGTGTGCAGGCTATGTGTCCGCATTTATTTTTCCTGAGGCCAGTGGACCTTTTTCATTTGTTTGCATTCTCGTCACCAAGAATTGAAAAATGTTCAACTTTGAGTAAAACCAAGTGTTAAGGCACACGGTGCGACTTTTGCTGTCGTACGAGCTCGCAGGTGATTTTTTTCTCTCGGGAGAAAATCGCAGATGCTCGCATGGTCGCGGCTCGTACCGTGTGAGAAGAATTACGGGCCCCTAGTCAGACACTGCTACGTCACATAACAGCAACAAAAACATGAACAAACACTGAACGATTGTCTTTTTATTACCCAAGATTAACACAGATTAATAAATGTATTGTTCCATGTTTGTTTGAATACCACACGCAAGGTTTATGCGCATAGTGTATCTCGGTGGCAGAATTACAGCGCAACATGCTGGTCTGGCATGTATACTACATCGTTTTGTGTCCGTTTCGTGTGTATGCAGATATTTCTTGAGACGAGGGGGAAAAAAAGATCGGATAGGGAAAGCTCTGGCTTCATGTGGATGTAGCCTGAGATAAGACTGTGTCTTAAGAACTAATTTGTCTAACTAGCAGTTAACCAAGTGTTAATCAAGCCGTCACCTTTATTTTTTATAGCGCTTTATACAATACAGTTAGTTTATACCACAGTTAATCCGTCTTACTTTTCATATACAAATTAGATCTATGTACATTTGTATGTAATTGACTTAAAAAAGTTATGACCAGTCCTGTGGAGAATATTACATGGCCAACTTTTAAGACTAGTCTAAGCAGTTTTTACTACTGACTGCATGTGTAGCATCAAAATGAGTTAATGATCAGTGCAGTAAAGACAGGCTTAATTAAGCAACTAGATTGGCACTTTGCAAAGTAATGAGTAGTGTTTTGTAAACTGATTTGGATTAAAAAGTGTTCAAATTAATTACTGATGTCTTACCAGACATGCATCTTTTCCTCCCTGATTTAACGATCCGGCACAAATCATATTTCTTGTGATCCCTCCATAAGCATTATCACAGTCACTGTTGCTCACAATTGGTATCATCACCTCCTGCAGTACATCAGAAAGATTGGTGCCTGTGCCCCAGATCAGAGCACAGATTTTATGGCTTTTAATTCTATGTAAATTATTGAGGTTTACATTATTGTTTATATTCAGTTAACTGGCAAGTAAATGTTCAGTCACCTTCAGATTGTAGTTTGCCCCATCCAGTGACCCAGCTCTCTGTACCTGCAGCAAATTTACTATTAGCAGCGGCCAGACAGACCGGCCTAATGTTATGAAAGAAAGACACAGAGGAGGAGAGCTGGATCAGTGCTATGTCGTTGTCAAAAGTAAAACTGTCATAGTTAGGATGGATGATGGTTCGACTTGCTCTCCTGTACGCCTCATAAGGGTTTGAGCCGGATTGTTTCAAACGACCAAAGTACATCTCAATGTAAGGTGGACGGATCCTGTAAATAGAGAACGTCTGCTGTAATCACACTATTATTAATATACAAATGTATCTTTAAGCCATAAACTTCATACTCCTGGAAGCAGTGAGCTGCAGATAAAACCCAGTCTTTAGTGATGAGAGTCCCGCCACAGTGATGGCCAAAGCCGATGACATGAATGCTGACCTGCCACGGCCAATCCCCTGCCATCGTATCCTCCCCTCCAACAATCCTGTTCCTGTCTCTAAGAGGGGCTTGACCACATACTGATGAGAGAAAGCAAAATGTGACATTTCCTTCTTAAAATGCCTCATAGACAAAGAGGACACATTCTGTGTCACATTATGACAACTTACCATCTAACTGGCAGAGGGAATCTGTGTAGGTAGACAAAGACAAAGTAAGCAGACAATCCTCCAAACAGAGCTAGTTTGTGTGGCCCACGACCACTCGTATGTGAATTAGCAGCAGGCTTGCATTGTGTTTTCACACTGACTGTGTGTCTGCTACACAATAAATCATTACTAGGCTCAGCGATTTGGAGAAATTATGGATGGAACAGCCAAACCCCAAATTGTAGCTATATTAAAGCAACTTAATCTGTATTTGAGAGTTAATGATTATAAAATAAGTGTGCCTGTCTTTGTGAACTTTTTCAAGCAATATGTTGAGTAGTTTATATTTTACATTACTTCATAAAAGTTTGGGTACTATAAATTCTTTATTATCATCACTATTTTCCACATTTGAAAGTAATATTAAAGTAATCAAATCTATAAATAACAAATAAAAGTATGGTATTTATGAAGTGACCAAAAACCTCATACATAAAATGAATAAATTATGCATTTGTAGGGAAATTCATATGTATGCAGAATGTGTTTATCTACAAAACCAATTTCAAGCAATTTCAACTGTAAATCTTCAGATCCAAAAGGTTTTTACAGTCAGGAAAAAACATAAATGAAGTGTTTACAAAGGTTCTTAGGAATTAAATGGCTTGTAAGTTATTTTAATAAATTTAATAATGTTTGCTTAAATTGTTAATCTAATTTGGTCATGTTGTAGGCTTTTTGTAAGATCTTACCTGCTATGTAAAGAAGTATGACTCCAGCAGCACTCAAAGCGGTGTTGAACTTCATCATTCTGTTCTGTTCCGTGATCCGACTGCTGTTTCTCCACTGTCAGGTTTCTGATGAGATGAAAAGCAACTTCCACTGCATTTATCAAGAGTTCTCTGTCTCCACCTCAACACTATGTTAATCTCTGACTCACATTTTTGTTAAGAAAAACAAAACAAAAAGCCTTATTCAAATGCTTATTCTGAGATTTTCATGTGTCTTTTGTGGATGTGGGTGGACAGTCACACTCTGTTGTAGAGAGCACAAAATGAAGAAGATCAGGTTCAAAATTATTTTCCTGTCAGCATTTTTGGTAATTTTTACTACATTTTCATGGCTCTCAGAATATTTTGTTGTATGAATATCTTAACATGCAATACATCAAAATAAAGAACAGAGCCTCTAACTTTAAAGGGAACCCCCGGGCATTAAGACTTGTATGGCTTAATATAAAGTCAATTATGTCTCTTACTGAAATATGTAGTAGAAAACCCATGAAAGAGTTACATTATTTAAAAAAATCCACATCCTTTTGTATGTATTTTGGAAAATGGGGGTCACCATTATTTCGATGACGTCAAATGGTTGCTCTCGGTGAGCTACTGGTGTTACCGGTTTCTATTTTTACCACAACACAACTTGCAAAATAAAATACTGATATGATGCCACATTGAGCGTCTTTTGGTTGTAATTTTCAGTCGAAGGCGACAATAGAAGCAATGTAAGCCTTCACTGCTTTCCTAACGATAAGAAGAGGAGAAAATAATGGGAAGATGCCTGTGGACGAATAAAACTTCCTAAAGAGTTGCGTCTTTGTTCTCTCCACTTAAACCCTGATGCTGTTGAGGCTTTTAGAAGACCACAGCTACTGAAAGAGCTTACAAACGGCTGAGACAAGAAACGCAAGATGCCATCCTGGCAGGATGTAAGCATGCTGATGCTAATGCATCTGCAAAGGGTAAAGAAAACTGATTATATTACACCAATTTTGGCCTCTTTACATTGGCTCCCTGTCCATTTTAGAATTCAATTTAAAATGTTGTTGTTTGTTTTTAAAGCTCTTAATGGTCAAGCCCCATCTTATCTCACAGATCTTCTTACTCCTCTTTCTTCCTCCAGATCTTTAAAGGGGTCCTATTATGCTCTTTTACAAAGTCTTGATTTTGTTTTGGGGGTGTACTAGAACAGGCTCTCATACTAGGTTGTTCGAAAAACACATTATTTTTCACATATTTTACATTATTACAACACCTCTCTCCCCAGTCTGGCATGAACGACTCAAATAGTTCCCGAATCAAATGAAGGCCCGCCTTCTGAAATACGAAATGTGCTCTTACCACAATCTTTGATTACAAAAATTTAATATTTTGTGTCATTACCCTTGCATTCAAATTGAGCTTCAAAAAATCCCACACAGTGAAAAGGGTGTGTCTGTGCAAATGCATAGAATTTTCTCTTGGTTTGTTTTAGTTCGACCCTATGTGCAAACAATCTTTGATACAGTTCTTCTCCAGTACCTATGTCCATCTTTAATCTCTGTCCATTAACTCTTTTGGTCCCTTTTCCTTCTGGATCAATTGAATACAAAAATTAATCAGAATCAGATTTGACATTTCCCTTACTGGTTTGTCTTTGCGGTCTAACTTGTCCTTGGCCTTATATTTTTGTGCTCCTGTGAGTTGTTTTTCTTTCTGCGAACACATGCATAATGACCAGGGCTGAGTTTCCCAAAATTGCCATAATTCCCATAAAAGCTTGAAATTAAAAATTGAAATACACCCAGTGCTCAATTAGGCTAACTTAAGTGTTTTCATGCAAATAATTAAATTGTCATTAGACTAATGGTTGTTAGCCTTTTTAAAATTATATAAGTGAAGTGACGTGACATGTGGCCAAGTATGGTGACCCATACTCGGAATTAGTGCTCTGCATTTATCCCATCCTAAGTGCACACACACACACCATGAACACACACCCGGAGCAGTGGGCAGCCATTTATGCTGCAGTGCCCGGGGAGCAGTTGGGGGTTCGGTGCCTTGCTCAAGGGCACCTCAGTTGTGGTATTGAAGGTGGGAGAGAGAGCACTGTACATTCACTCCCCCCACCTACAATCCCTGCTGGTACGAGACTCGAACCCACAACCTTTGGGTTACGAGTCCAACTCTCTAATCATTAGGACACGACTTCCCCAGTTATATTAGCCAAAGGTATATCAGCTTGCAAACCATTAGGCAGTAAAGGCTTAGGGGTCTATTTAAAGGGAATGATTGTGGTGGGACGTTTGGTCAAACTTTGCGATACAACGAATGGTTTTGCTAAATCAAAGACGGCACTGTCCACGGCACCATTTAGCACTAAAATGGTCAAAAGCTGCAACTCTTAAAAAAAAAAAGAAGAAGCCATGTTTCACGTGTTGCCGCTTTTATACGTGACAGGTCATCCAATAACAGAAATTACTGATTTACACCATTGAAGTGATGCAGCTGCTGGGCAATCAACCCTGGTTGTAGAGTAAATTAAGACAATGTGGAAAATATAGTGATAATATAAATGATTCTTAAAAAGTCCAGTGAAGACATACTGCCAGTTAGTGATACGCATGATACGTTTGGGCATGAGGTTGCCGGTTGCCGGATTTAGTTTGCAATTTGGATTATTTTTATAAGATCCTATGACTCCTGATAAATGCAATTTTAACTATTTCTGAAGTGCTTCTTGTTGGAAAGCATTCTCACCAGAATGTTTTTTCTGTAGGCCTATGTTTTTTTTCCTTTCGTTAAAAGCTGTCAAATTATTAAGCAGTGTCCCATGTAGGTTTTCTACGCTTGTATTTTATGTGATGACCACTGGGAGATGCTCTGTGAATATGTTTTTCTTTCTTCATTTTCTTCCCTGACGTGATGTGTTACAAAGCGAAAGTTAAACTTAAACAAGTTTGTTGTGTTTTAACAGCAAAGAGTTCTGTGTCTTTATTTAAAATCAACACTTCTTTCATAAAGAACACCACTTTCTCACATAGCGCACTGAAGCAGCCCCTGCATAGAGTGAATAATCAATTTTCGAGCCATTGATATCAACCAATTCAGCACCACCGCCATGGACAGCACCTGGTAACGTTGCATGTAAGAAGATATACCTTAAGCAGCCTCCTAAGGTATAGTTCTGGGAACACACCTAACAGCTACACCTTTAGGCCATGTCCACACGTACACGGGTATTTTTATAAACTGAGTTTTTCCTTCCGTTTAAAAAAAAAATCTCTGTCCACATGAAAACGCAAACGCATGCTATGAAGCACTGTCAAGAGCAAGCCAAACCAACAGGTGGTGATATAATCTAAACCGTAAAGCCATGTTGGCCAATCAGAAGCCTGAAAAAGTTTCCAGTAGGCGGAGATAACAGCGCATGCTCTGACATCACAAGCTAAAAACTCCGGTTTTGCTGTCTACACAATAACACTACAACCGGAGTTTTTGAAAATCTTCACCCTGGCAGGAGTTTTCAAAAATGTTTGGTTTCAGTGACCTGGTGCTGCGTTTGGACGAACGGCCTAACCATGTAGAAAAAGCTGCGATTTTAAAAATAACATGTCCGTGTGGACAGGGCCTTAGTTAAGGCATACCTTTAGAATCTTCGTAGAATGCTAAGAGACAGCGTTATCAGGAAACCCAGCCCAGATTTTTTTGCAATACAGGCAGGTTGCTGAATTTGCACTACAGTCATCTGCTTTATGTGTTGTCAGTCCACATCTGTAACACCTGGGGTCACTGCTACTCTTTTCAGATCGACCTCTGCTGGCATTTTGTCGTTTAATTTTTATGTCAGCTGCTTGCACCTTTCATTAAACAAACGTGATTGTCTTTTTCTTTGACATTGTTTTCTGAAAGCACTTTAGACTCTGCTTGGGCTGATTCAAAAATCTAGCAACAGTTAATTGCTCTTTCAAATGTAAGCCCTTCTTCTTGCAACAGTTTATCTCTTAATCGTCTATGTGCACATTACTCTATGAGTTGATCTCATATCATATCATTTTCTACAGCGCCAAACTTGCAAGATTTGGCCAGTTCCCTTAACGCATTCACAAATGTGTCAATCGTTTCATCTTGTAGTTGAGATCTCAGTCTGAATTTGTATCTTGAGAGCACAACTTTCTTCCATGGAGTAAAGTAAGCATCCAGCGCAGCTACAGTCTCCGTATATGACTCTAGGGCCTGGGGAGGTTCGTGAAAATCCTCTGCACTGGAGCACCAATGCAATGTAAGAAAGTAGCGCGTCTTGATGCATTGCTGCATTTTCTAGCAGATCTAGCAACATTGATAGACTCCGCTGGAGTCTTTTCATGTTTTGTATTCTGCATGCAAATCCGAAGCTCTGAGGTTCAGTGGAATAGGTGGCAATAGCTCATGTCTCTGTGGTGTTCGCAGTGTAGCAGCTTGGCCTCCCAGGTGAAAAAAAAGTATACTTCCATAATGTACTTAAAGTGCTCTATTTTTGCCACTAATGTTTTACTTAGTTTTTTTCCAACTGCACACATTTTCAAATTTTTTTTTTTTCAAAGCTTTACACACAAATCAAAGAATTGCACACACGAAATGCAAAAAGCCTCGCATCTCTTGCAAAATTAAGCATTGCATTCCAAATATGACAAACATCTCAAAAGCGAACATTTGCCTTAAGTTGCAAACACCTTTGCCATAATATTATATTTTTGGATATTTCATATACACAGTTACTCAAAACCTAAAGCTCTTTCATGAGTTCCTATGTACATTTCTGTACAAGATTGAAAGTAATTGGCAGAGCGAGATGTTGAAAAATTAACAGTTTGGTTTCAATCTTGCTTTCGTGTTTACTTTTTTTTTTTTTTACTATAAGCATTTGTGGTTGCGAATACAGTATGAAGAAATACATCAACCATGTGTAGTTGGACAGAAACCAAACATAATTTTGAAAAAGGTGATTATTCCAAAGGAATGGTGTGTGTGTGTTTGTTGGTGGGCGAGATGTATTTGCACATTGTT